TTGATTGAGTTTCATGGGCCTCTTCGGTGTGCTTCAGCAAACTTCTTTTAATTGCAGCCCGTCTCTTTTCGGTGGTAGGATCAGCTGTTGGCGGTTCCCAGCCTAAACCTAACGCTGCCTCTGGAAGACTCTCTTCCTGAATATTCCCATATAAGCTAACCATTTTGATCCCTGGCAAAGTGTACTGTGCCAGTACCTTCAGCTGACGGACTGCGTGGTCGCTTCTGCCCAGGAGGACCTCTACCCTGAGACTAACGACGTCTGACTTTGACCGAGAAATAGCTAAGTCAAGGATTGAGGACCTCTAGCCGAAACGGGACCGAGTGGGTTCACTTACATGCTACACAAGCGCATGCGAATGGATCTACTCCAGTAGTGCCCTCTCCATAGTTCCTCTAGGAGCTCGTTCTTCTTCCCAAGCTATTTCAGGAAGGTTTAGATCCCCCACGAGGAGAAACCTATGGGCCCTTCGAAGCACCTCTTGTAGGGTACGCATCAGTTCATTATCCTCAGTCGACGTTAAGGTGGGTGCCCTATTAACGCAGACAATGCCTATAGGTCCCGATCCAACCCTTAAGTGGTAAGGAGTAACCTGAATATTGGGAGTAGCCAACTGCAGTGGTCACTCCCATTGGTGACAGGTAGTCCGCACAGCTAAGAGGACTCCGCCCCCTTACCTCCCGTTTACTCTATCCTGTTTATATTCGGTATACTCCTGCAGACCCAGGTCCATATCTTCACTCTTGGGCCAAGTCTCAGTGACAGCAATGACATCGGCTTCTGCTGTCCTGGTCTTTAGCTCCCCCTGTTTGCCCCGGAGGTTGCAGGCATTTGGATACCAGGGAGCCACATCAAGGGACCTGAGGTTTATTTCGCTCGGTTCGTTTCTTGTTGGGATACCCTCGGGCGTAAGACCGGCGCACGTCCGGTCAGGTCAAGTCACAGGACTTTTGGCTCGAGCTAATTTGTGTCCAGGTTCTTGCACCCCGAGCTCCCTGTTCTCGTGGTGCTTTGTCAGGACTTTAGGCTTCGGCCAGTTGACATCCAGGTTCTTGCACTTGTGAGCTGGTGATTCCCTCTGTGCTGTGACTGCCAGGTAGTTCCACATCTGTGATGGGTGTTGTACCTACATGGGAAGAGATAAAGAGCAGGATCACCCTCGGGTTAACAGCCTTCTCAATCATTCAACAGGCGCCGCACCTCAGCGGACTGCTACTCCTGCCATGAGAGCTTCCCGGTGGCTGATGACAGAAAAAATACCTGTGTTACTTGTGCGTGATGCAAACGAGCATGGCAGAAATAGTCAACGGCTACAAAAGATGGATGCGGGTAGTGATCGAGACTTCTACTAGTCACACTCTGGAAACACATCATCCTAG